ATGAAAATTATAAAAAATGTTAAAAAATATAATTATTTTTTCAAAAATGTATTCAGTTAATTTTACTAACTCGTGCACAATAAACAAATTATTACAAGAATTGTAAGTTCAAGCATCTACTCCTACCAAAACTCCTTGAGACCGAGTAATGAAATTGACTTGTACTAGTGATACCAATAATTTATATTACGCTCATTGACAGTATAAGGGAGTATGTTAAGATACATATTTAATATACTTAACATACATTTTACTGTAACAAAATTATTTTTTAAATCATTTGATAATTCAATTACATTTGATTGCAAGTAATTTGTATGTAATTTAAGTTACTTTTTTGTGGTAAAATTACTAGATTACTAACTAGATACTTTATTTTTCTTAAATAAATTTTATGAACACATTCATAATATTTGTATATTTATATTCAACTATATGATTTTCCAATAGTATCTTGCATTTTTATAATAGCTTTTTGGCAAAAAAGTGTTATTTTCAATAAGTTTCAACTTTGAAAATGTATTACATACAAATAAATTTTAAAAATAGAGAATATTGTGTTACACAATTATTGTTTTATTTGGTTCTTAAATAAACATTTTGTCTTATTTCATATTATTAATGTATTGACAAAATAATTATTAAACTCCAATTGTAAATATTGAAAATAAAAACTAACTTTAATTGTAATGAAGTAACTTTTAAATGTAAAATAACCTTGACTATGAAATGAGTAACTTAAGAACTATTTAATCATAATTTTAAAATATAATATAATAACAAAAAAAAATTAACTTCTCCAACATTAGTCATTGATACTTGTATATTTATAGATTATTAATTAACAACTATAAGTAATCAATTAACAGAGTATACAAAATTATAATATTTGTTACTTTTTATAATTTATAGTCGTTGAAAAGGCAGGTCAAAATATGCAACACACAATGGTTGCATCATTTATTGCAATTTTACTTGGTTATATTACGATGGATAACAAGGTAATTCATTAAATTTTTAACAATTTCAGTAAAATAACTGTGAAAATGTATTTACAGGAATACCTAGACTTTGTTGGTAAGCATTTACCAGATGGTCGTTTTACAGCAATGTTGGCAGTTTTGGATAAATATTTAAATTTTATGAAGCTTACTGCTGCTGTAAGTTTAATTGCACAATTTCATACCTAATTCATGTTTATATTATGTACACAAAATTAAATACAGCTTATTGATTCATTATATTATTATAATTTAGCCTGGCACCAGAGGAATTAAATCTGTTGAAATGATTATAAAACATTTGACAAAATGTGAAAAACTACAAGCCGATGCTTCTGGTCTACCTGGCACTTCAGCATAACCAAGTAGATTGGCTATGCTTTATAGGACCAAGAATAGCATAATGTAATGTTTTAATAATTTAAATTATGAATTATCCTTTTATTTGCATATAAATGTATTGATTTTGTAATTTATTTGACTGTAAAGTATTATATCTTTGTTGTAACAATAACGGAGTAATACAATCTTTTCCTATTCTTTACGACTTCTTTTTTGTCGTGACATTTTTATGTTTTTAATTTTTAATTGTCTCAATGAAATCAAATTTAATCCGTCTGTTATACCTAAGTAAATTTTGTAAGTTGTGTTCTTAATTAATTTGTATGTTTGGTTCTTGAGTTTAGTGTTATAATACCATAGGAAGTAATAAAACCTTTTTAAATTTACTATTAAAAATTTAAAAGAATACATGTTGTATTTTCATAATCCTATTGTTTATATTATTGTAATTATTATTTAATAATTTTATGTTTAATATTATTATAATTGGTATTTACTAAATAAATAGCCTTTTCTAATTTGTCATAAATTAATATAATTAAACACATTTATAGCTTAAAACAGTGATTCTTAACATCTAGTGTTTAGACACTAGTTAAATACTCCAAGTTTATTCATTTTGAACAATCAAAATATAATTGTAATAGATTCATTAGAAAAATGTATGAAGTACATTAATTGTCTGAGCTCCACTATCCAGTTTTAGTTCTGTTTCCTGTTCTACTGAAAATAAATTTTTAAAATCTATATTTTAAAATATTATACAAACCTTAAAACAGAGAAATGTTAAGAATCATTGCTTCAATATTTAACTTTTAACAATTAATTTTACTAACATAATTAATTGGTTATGTTAGGAAGAAAAACATGCCCAAATTTAGGTTGAAATTTGTCTGTAAAATAACTCCCATCATCTCATACCTTTATATACTTATGAAAGTTAAGAAAAAAAATGTAACCATAGGTTGGTCATATGATTGTTGTTACTTAACTACTCAAGTCATCAAAGTTTATTATTTAGTCTTCTAACGATGGAGAAAAGAACACGACATATATATTGTTATAAATATGAAATAATTTACTCAAACTATTTGTGGGAATGCAAAAAGAAATTTTATTTTTTTTAACAATTCTATTTTATTTTATAGTATCTGAATGTTAATCTTATTTAAATATGTTATATCTGAATATTCTAGTATTGTCTTAGGGCTTTCTGTTATAATATATCAAAACTTTACCACAATAACTAAGTTACCTAAATTATGACTTGTCCTATCATACATTTTAATCTTTCATATTTAACAATAATAATTTTTATGAAATAAGTTGATAACAATAATTTCTTTTTCATTTTGATAGTAAAGTAAGAGAAAGTACAAGATTTTTAGTGATTTTTTTTAAAAAATTTGATGAGAAAACATTCAATCTGCACATATTATTAGGTTGTGCGGTATTATATATAAAAGCCCACTACAGCATCTTAGTGATAATTATTTAGGAGGTACATTTATGAAAGTTGGAATAACATGTTCATACAATTCTATCAACAAATCTGCATAGAACTATCGATAGGCATTAATTGGGTGGGGGTGACCTTCTAAAAATGTAAGGTTAAATTATTGTTAATGTTATATTGGTGTTATGTAAATTAATTAGAAAAATGTTTCTGAAAAAGCATTTTTATGGGAAAAATAAGGACGATAAAATGACTATAGTGCATAGAGCACTAAAGTTAAATATGCCCAAAAAAAAAAAAATTACACTTTATATTTTCTTTATTTTAATTAATTTTAATATTTTAGCTACTAAATCATATTTTCTCTGCACCTATATGTGTAAAATACAGTCAATACTGATCTCATTCTTCATTCAAATTTAATATGATTGTTGACCTTGATTCATTAAAAATATTTACTGAGGTGCTTGATTTTTGATTAACTATTAAATATTCACTAAAAACTGAGTAGGTATTTGATCATATTAATATGTCATCATTTCGTCAAGCTTTTTCCATCATGTCATTTAATTTTACATGCTACAATAAAGATTTAGCTTAGATAATATTGTTAACTTTGCTATACTTTCTACAGATTAAGTATAATAAGATATATCAACATGAAATAAAGCTCCCCCTCCCCACCCCACAAAAATTCCCCTTAGAACTAACAATGCTTGTGAAGGTTGGATCGATGGGTTTTCTCATCTCATCGGCAATTACTAACAAAAATATATCAAGAAAGTTGTAACTGATAGAATAACAATGTTCGCTGGAGTTGGAGAAAAAACAAAATCTGGTTAAAAAATGAAAGAATTCTTTATGGGTAGTTGGGTGAATAATATTTTTCTATTTTTTAATTTAATTTATTCAAATATGAAACCTTAAAAATTATTATATAATATAGACAATAATATTATAGAGATTTGACCTTTTTTTTTTTTATTGATCTTATATAAAATCTGTGGCCATTAGTTTACAAATTTACAGTAATTTAAAATTAGTTACAATTACAATATTATATCTACATTGTGGAATTAAGGGCTTACATAAGGTTGTATAGCTGAATTTCTTTTATAAACATTAGGATGTTGGAGATTGATTGGGTGTCAGGTCTTAGCGCTTCTCCGATTTGTTGAGATATGTCGTGATTTGACCTTTATTATCAAACTTAAAGGTAAAACAATTCTCTATTTATTTCTCATCAATTTTAAGCAGGTATTTAAGAGTACATAAAAATTGAAATATTGTAAGAAAGCTTACCTAGGTTCCAGCCCCTATTTTTTAGTGAGTTCCGATATAAAGTGTGTAGTCCGAAGCTGGAAATGTGCACTATGGATTTAAGATTGTGTACTAATACATTTTAGACTACTGTTTACTAACTAGGTACTTAATACCTATACTTTACCAAGTACCTACTTACACTTCATATATAACAATGGAACATTTTTATAGTAATATCGATACTTACTATAATTGGTATTGACCATAAGATACATGTACACCTGTAAACCTATACAATAATAATATAAACCATAATACTTCAACGCCTAATATATTATTATGCATGTGGCTTGGCGTGGCGTGTTGGCTGCTACCAGTCGCGGAATGCGACTGGGAGTAAGTAACGGCCACAACTACTAGCTCCCGGATGGATGACCATCCGGGTTCGTAGTAGTTAAAAACCTTGCCACACATACACGTGTTTGCTACCTACCGTGACAACCCTAACGGCTAACAATCATAAAAACAACCTACCATAACCTATTACAGTTAATAACCCCTATAACAGTTTATGGCCTTAGTCGCCGGGCTTAAGTTCAATGAAAAAAAAAAATTATTATGCATATCGACATTGAAGTCAATAGAATACCATACACGCCTGCAGGCAGCATTGAATTTAGAATACTTATTGGTCTTGTTGTAAAAATAATTGATCCATGTTTATGTAAAACACATTTTAATTTTTTTTCGTCAGAGAACACAATGTCTATATTATATAATTAAATATGTTTGCTTTGCACTCTTCGTGCAACGTTCAATTCTGAGGTTCAAACATTGATACATTCATGATTATCTTATATTATAATCTATACAACTAGAATTCCTGTTACTTAATACCTATATTATAATGTATTAAGTAGGTATATATATAGGTAATATAATATAATATGCAATATATATGTGCGTGTATACAACAGTAAGTAAATAATATACATTTAATATAATAAAATATTAGATAATATCATAGTTAATTATATCTTGTCGTAATGTCGTCGTAGCCGAGCTACGTACTCGAACACATCACGTACGTGGCGGTGCACGCGTGGTTGGTCCGCCGCTGTAAGATGTCTTTGGTTGCCGACCGGATGGTGACGTCCGTGCCGGCGTTCAGTTGGACGACCATGAAGTTCTCGAAGTCCACACCGGTGCCGGCCGCCTTTTTTATGCCCACCGCATGCCTGAATCCCAGTGCTCTGCACAGCGAATGGTAATCGATGTCTGTGTAGTCCTCGGTTATGCACTGCTCGTGCCAGTGCCCGTACGACCTTACCGCCAATATTCCTTCGTTTCTACAGCACAAACGTGAAACACGGTAAGAAACATACTAATATAGCCATTAATCATATTTACTATAGGTATCACTGTTGTAGTGCTGTACCTAGGTAGAGGTACACGATAACAACATAATATTATGATACACCTCCCCCCACCCATAGAGTATATACATAGACGTATAGCATTAGCCCCAACTGCAAGTGCAGGGTCCGTGATGCAATATTATTACAGCGGGCTGACATTTTCGGAACGTGTTTCTAAACGGCTTTGTGCAGGTGAAGATTTTCAACCTACAGACGCTTGCCACCGTTTTTTTCATTTATATTTAAAGAATTTCTCTAAAATACGATTTGTTTTTCAAGTGGACCATGAGATATCCTATTATGGAAGTTTCAACTAACGGAAACGACAGTGAATGCAAGTAGGTATTACATAAAGTCTCATAATCATGTAAAAAATAATATTATGTTTGAATTAAAATTAAGTACTGTGTGCACAAGCAACTAGGTATTGATGATTAATGATGATTGATGGACCTACTATTATAGTACATTAACACCAATGTACCTATTACTTAAGATTTGTTAATTTTTAATATAGTTTATAAAGTCACAACTACACTAGCACACTACAGTCATACTATATCTACCACACACTACACAGAGTTAAATAAAATGATAAATTCAATATTTTGATCAATACATTATACAAATAAATACTGTAGAGTATTTTAACAGTTGTTAAAGGTAGAATTTAATATAACTAGGTATCCGGAAAACAGCAAGATCCTAACTTTTTCGTTAGGTAGGTCTGCGAGACGTAGTGTAACGTAGGTATATATAATGATTTAATGACAATATAATAAATCATAATATATTGATACTGTGTGTGTATGTGTATTGTGTAAGCAAGTGATGTATCTCGCTGAATTAAATCAAATCCCGACCTTTGCGAATTACGCAATAGTATTATCTATGCCTCATGTCTAATTATTTGTAAGAATAGTGTATAGAAGAAATCTATCCAGCTCATAGGCGCAACTAGACCAAAATATTTGGGGGCACACAAGTTTTAAAGAATTCTAGACCCTTCACATATGTGGTTTTTCTTTTATGTAGACCTGCTAGATCGTCTGGACACTGGACTCAGCTTTCTATTCCGTAAATTGTTGTTAAATATTTTATATTCATATTATTTATCATTCATAATTTAACTTGTCAAATTGTAATTTTTCATCCAAGATTTCTCACATAAATGAATCATTAATTTTTAATAAAAGTGAGTGGAAAATGTATTATAATTGTACAATAATTTGCGAGTACATGTTTTTGTATCATGTACCTACATAATTATTATGTTACGTGAAAACACCTGTATTAAATAGGACGATATAATAACAGTAAATAATTATAGTATATAGTATGTAGCAACTAGTGCTCAGTCATACTTTTTTCCAGCTGGAGTGATTAAGCCAATGCATTCGGCTTCGTCGTCGGATTCGGGACAATCTTCTTCGCCGTCGCACACGAATTCCGATGATATACATTTGTTCGATCTACGGACAGACGAGAGACGCGTATATAAAACCTTTTTCTAGTTAAATTATTCATGTATGCAATATCCATATTAGTGTGTTACATTCATTGCAGTTACACTTATTTTATGTTTGTATGTTTTATGTTACTCACGATTGACAGTGATAAACGTTCGTTCTGTTGCAGTAACCGGGACAGTTCGCGAACTCTTCGTCCGTCTTGTCCAAACAATCCCAACGTCCGTCACATAATCTTTCCGGGGCCGTGAGCTTTAGATAGTCCACGCACGTGTTTTTCTCACACGTCTTTGGTTCATCGGTTCCGTCTCCGCAGTTGTTGAGTCCATCGCAAAATGCAGTTTTCTCCACACATTTGCCGTTGGTGCAACGAAAACTGCCCACGTCGCATACTATATAGAATGGTTGTATATTTAAATTTTTGTAAATTATATATTGGCATATTGCATTCATTGTTGCAACTTGCAGACACTTGCAGTACAGTACCTCTGCCTATCGGTATATTTAGTATTTAAGTGCCATAATAGTATACTTACATTTATTATTATCACTTATATCAGTATGTATCGAAAGCGAATAACATATTTTTGACTTAACTAATTCTTAAAAAATTTAATGAATAGTTCAATACCTGATGAATCCAAAAACAGCACACATTTTTGTGTTTTTGTACTTTAGAATTAAAATCAAAATTGTGTGAATTAACGTTATCGACGCATTCCGATCGTTATTCATATAATATTTTTTTATAATTTGGCATTTTATACGAGTACACTCGTGTACCTAATATTTCTCATTGTTTTTCAACAAGTCTAGTTTTTTTTAATTATACAGACATACTGCTGTAATCGTCTAACCCTAAAATAAATTCTTATTATTTTGTCACAATTATATTTAAAGGAAAAAGTTTATATGCTGCCTCTTCCAAAGTATTTGCTATTTTGCATTTTAATAATAAATGCCTTATTTTCACAACACTTTTCTAATAGAAGGATCTGCGTTAAAGTGCTTTTTTACAAAAAATCATTGGCTGGTCATTCTCTTAAATGTTGTCAGTACTGTTATAAAATTAACAATGTAAATACTTCTTTGTAGGATTATTAAGCGATAAGTTACATTACCAACTAATTAGTAATTACCAAATTAATACCTAAATTAAGAAATACTCGAGTAATAGTTAAGATAATTGTTGTTATAGTGCATTTGCCCATCATCCCCTCGCCCCCACACTGGATCCTTCATACTGAATTATATAATTTATGTAAGTATAATTTATTACTGCACAAAGTGTCGTTGGTTTTGCATTTCTCGGTTCGCTGTTGGCACATTTTAATCGTTTCGTCTTGTTCGTCACGACAATCCGGTATTCCGTCACAAACTCTTTCCCACGGGACGCACTCGCCGAGCTCACAGCGTTTTCCACCACAAAAAGGGACGGGTGTCGTTTTCATGCTTTCATCTAAAAAACATAAAAATGTACACACGAAACATTAACGAACATATCATAATATACAGGATCTTTCAAATGTCGCGTGTGATAAAAATGGCAGGGATCACGTTAAGTTCGGTTTGTGACAACCAAGTTGCATTGATGTACCTATCTATAAATGATGTACAGGGTCAGTCAGGGTGTATCTGGAAGATATGACATATTGTTTAAATATAATTTCAAAGACAAATTTTTTAATTATTTAGATATACACCTTATAATATAAGTAATTAGTAATTACCTATAATATGATGCATAATATTGCACCTACTTAAACTGTTTCAGTGTTTCAATTATTAGTGCAAAAAAAATCCTGCGATCTCATATTTTATTATATTATTACAATATTACGAGTGGCATTGGAGGCAGCTGTTTATATTAGATACATATGTGTATTATTTACCAGTGATTTCTTCGATTTTGTTCATCAGACATTCAGCCATGGGCAGCCGGATTCGCACGTTACGATCGCATAGGTTCATGTCGGGCTGAATCGATGGTGCGGCCAAAAACAAACCGTAATTTGATTCACAGATAACCGCAGTCACGTGAGACATATTTTTTCCGTTCTGAAATCAAGTAGATCACTTATAGCCTAGTTTATATTCTGTAATAAGTCTTTGAAAGACCCAAATAGTATTGTATCAAATAAATACCTACACTCACATAATACATCTTGCTGCAGTGCATAGACGTAATTAAGGGGGTTTAGATCCCCGATCCTTTACCATATTTAAGTCTTTACTGTAGTTGTTATTGTGTACATTTATGTAATAAATATACTAATATGCATCATTTGCTTAACAAATTAATTTCCCACTTTTTTATACACACAAATAAGGTAATAATTTCAATTCATATTCGAAAACTCAACTTAAAATATTTTTTGCTTTTTCAGTAATTTTTTCTCTTATTTAATTTGTTAATTGATTATCATATTTAACATTTTTGTGGTCCAACAGTAAAATAGAAAAATTAATTAGGTATAAACGTTACCTACGTACTTTGAAAATCTTGTGCGAGTTAAGTATATACGAAACTTGGAAATTAGTTATTACTTATTAGTTACCTATTATCTACTAATTATTACAGTGTAATATGGATTCACCTAGTATATAATCACAACCTCAAGGGCCAATTATGGTTAATAGCTGTATGCACTTACTGAACACGATCGGGGAGTTTGTGACACTGTAAAGCACAACTCGTTAGGGTCGTCGCACTGTCCGGTATCTGGCCGAAGGAAAGCTACTTCGGTCTTATTGCCGTGCTGGTTGTTCGTGTAGCCGATCGCGTAGCAAGTACCGTTCGGCCAGGGCGACGGCTGGAACGGCAAAACTTTCAACGGGGCCACTCCTCTGCTCACGGTTGCTGGACGAGCCAAATGAAGCAAATCGAAATCTGTATCGGGAACTTCTCTGATCCCGTCGACCCGGACGATCTGTTCGTACGGCGACTTGATCCAGATGACCGAGTACGCGCTGCCGCCCAACACTGCCGTGACGTACGACTTGTTTAAACTTTAAAAATAAAAAAAAAACAATCAACACCGAGAGACATTATTTGTGATTCGGAACTGATTTCCGTCGTCCGTTTGTCGTGCGTGCAGCTCACTTTAAACCTGTCCTCTTGACAAGCACCCAAGAGTCCTTCAGTAGTACTCCGGACTGAACGAGTGTACCGTCCACTACGACGTCGGCGTGCCAATAGTACCGTTTCTCGTCCACCGTCTTCCTGCCGCTGCATTCCACGAAGAGCCCTTCGCACGCGTCAGTGATCTTCAACCGGTTCGTTTTCAAAGGCAGAGCACTGTTCCACGACATTCTCTTGGCGTGGCGTTCCGAGTGACTGAGAATAACGACAATAACGTGGGCTTTTAGAACGAAATCGAGTCCGATGAAATTATACAACCCAAATCAAATAAGTAAACCGCCGAATTTATTGATTGGGCCCTTAATACGTGAGTCAAGATTATTTTATTATTGCACTTATTCGGATCGAAACATATAGGGAGTATAGGGACTAACGATTTCAGTGATTTTATAGGTTTGACTTATAACGGGATATTCGATTTCAGTTACGGTTTCGTAAATTAATTCATATAGGTAAGTTCAATTAATTTTAAATTGGAGTACTATACCATATACCTATTCACCATTTTCTAAAATTAAAATATTGATAATTTATAATTAAAAATAAAATATTAATATTAATAATTTATTTTTATTATTTATATTTATATTTATTTATAAGTACTTTACAATATACATTTATACATACACCTACTAGGGTTATAAAATGTATTTATTTTTATTAAATTTCAGTATTTTATGTCACTGGGTGATTTGGATTGAAATCTTGTACATATTTATGTAGGTACATATTATTTATAGCTTATAGATATATAAATATTATGTACCTACATGCGTACGATGTACCTACAATATTTTAACGAGAAATTACTGAATTTGTTTTATTTTTTAAATATACAAATGCTGCAGGAATGAGGTTTCTGGGATTTATAAAACTTAAGTAAACATGTAACAGCCAAAAATATATCTCGGAATATACCTAGGGTTTAGTCCACAAATAATTAAATAACGGCTTTAATGAGATTCCGGTTCTAACACAATAACTTGGTATCGTTTTATTTTTCGGTTTGGTTTCAATGCTCAAGCCTCGCCGTTTTATTATAATATTAAATCATCTATATTTATTGTACATAATAATATTTAGTGAGTACGTACGAGTAACCTAGGTCGGAACAAGTGTCGTGTGCGATCTTAACAACCGCATCGTCTTTGATGCACATCACCCTCCAGACGCCGTTGCGGTTCACGGCGACCATGCCAGATTGTCGTAACGTCGGCCGACCGGTCGCATCCGACGTTACAGCTGTTGTGCCGTTCGTGATCGCCACTGAAAAATCGAAACGGACAGACAATAATAATAATAATGTGATAAATTTTCCAACTTTCGACTATTATCATTTATAGATATAGTTGTTATAATTACCGCAGTATTTCTCGTCAACGCCGTCAATGCAGTTCACGTGCCCGTCGCACCACTCGCTTTTTTTTACGCATTTTATCGGCCAGCCGCAAGCGGTCTCGTCAGTCTTGCACTTGGGCGTAACGCAATCGGCCTCGTCCAAGCCGTTGTGACAATCTACGAGACCGTCGCAAATGGCCGACGAATTGAACATGTTCGTCAGTCTCGTCTTGCAGTCGCAGGCTTCTTCGTCCGTCCCGTCCTCGCAGTCCACTGTGCCGTCGCAACGGTGGTTAGACAACACCACTTGAGTAATTCTGGAAAAATTATCGGATGAGTTTTAAGATTATACTAATAATTTAAGTATTATTTTTAAGTCCATTTTTGTCGAACTTTTTAAAAAAAATAATCAGCTCTGGGTTTCGATTTTAATGGTTAACATTGGTCTCTGTAGATAGTGGAGATTCTGGTTACGGTTTATTGTTTTTTTAGATTCCTTTATTACTAGGCATAATACTGCTTAATTGATCAATTAAAGCAAAAAAAAATTATATAGTGAAAATATTCATAAAAATTGTTATAAGTACCTAGGTATCAAGAGTATGTTGATAACATATTATTTTGTTTTAAATATATTTTTAGATGAAAGAACTACTGATATTTTTTTACTCAGGACTTTCGGTTTCTGTAGGAATATAATATAATATCGTGTGGTGATATAGTTTTTGGTTCCAGAACCGATTATTTTTGGCCCCGTTTCCATGTTTTACCTTTTACAGCTGAACGTTTTTTCGGAAAACTGGTTGTCGAAAAGTTGACTCAAGGCATTGAGAACCGTATCGTTTAGTCTAGTGATATTATTACTATTGATTTTTTCATTGACAACCGCTACGGTCATTCTAGTTTCGTTTTTAACAACGTCTCTGTCCCGGAGATTACCGCTGATATTATCATATTTTGGTAATGGTGTTATGTCTGTTCTTACAGACGCTACCGTTGTTGTTGTCTTTTTTGGAGTACTCATGGTGAAATTGACATTAAAATCTCGCAGTGGCTGTCCAGCACTTTTTAATTTACTGTACTTTAAATTGCTGTGGTCAGTGTTTCTCGACCGATATAAGTTCACTTGATACTGAGAACCAGTGTAATCACAATTTTGTTCGTCTTCCGCGTTCATACAGTCCACATATTTGTCACATTGACGTTTGGTGGGAATACATTGTTTTCCGGTTTTGCATCGGATTCCTGGACAATATTGTAGTGGACTGTCTTGTGGCAAATTGTTCTCTTCTGAAACGAAACGTTTAATTGAATTGGAAAAAGTGAATATTGCATATTGACAAAAATATAGAAATTGTTCAAAACATATAACACGATTTAATCTATTTTTAACTTACCAGTAGCTTTAAAAATCCAATCCATGTACAACGCGACTCTAGTGTATACTCCGGGTTCCATAGGTCTCGCACATCCTTCGCCGTGGCTAACTATGCCGGCCACATACCATTTATTTAGATTGTTGGGCTCTCTGCAAAGCAGTGGACCTCCACTATCTCCCTGGCAAGTATCGTGGCCACCATTCAAATATCCGGCACAAATTTCTTTACCCTCTATATCAGATTTATGTGTGCACTCGGCAAGAATCGGTACTTCTACTTCTCGCATGTTGTCGGCTAAATAATAAAAATATAAATAAAAAACACAGTCGATTGCCTCACGGCTCACGCCACTTTGTTCGACTTACGGTCTGGTCCGTGTTCAACCGTAGCTCCCCAACCAACAGCTGTACACATTGTTCCCGGGAATGGAATCCAGCTCAATTTATTATCGGGCAAACACACTGGTCGAATCCAACGGTTAAATTCCAAACTGCGGTCTAATCTTAGCACGGCCAAATCGTTTTCCATCGTCGATCTACTATATTGAGTGTGGATTATTGCGTGAGTTACAATTCTCGATTGTTCCATGGGCGAAAACGAAAATCTTCGTAAAATTCCGGCTTGCACTTCATAAAAATGCTTCTTATACCTAAGTATCACAAACAATTGGAAAAAATTAATTCGCTAATTAAACTAAATATATAACAATAATGTAATGATGATAATCTTGTATAGGTATGAAGTTCGGTCCTTACTGATTAACGCAGTGAGCTGCTGTCAACACCCATTGATCACTTAATATAACACCACCACAATGGAATATGCCATCCTGGTAAAGTGCAATGAGCCACGGCCACGCGCCAGGGTTACTGGCGATGCCTCCAACTACCCTAGCGTCCTTCGATCTCGTAAAGCGTGAGGTGATGTTATTCGATGATTCCAAAGGTGAACTTCTTCTCAGTCTATCGGGATCAATGTTTTTGTTAAATTTCAGATCAGAACGTATGCCACACATTTCTGGTTCACATTCGACAAAGATTCCTTGGTGATTGCATTCGTTTGATAATATAATTTGATTATTTCCGTCGATATTGATATACGGCCCGTTATAAGTAGTCAACTCATTCATATACTGTACTTTATTTGGCCTAATAATTAAACCAAATATTTTTATTTAAAACATAAATTTTAACTACAATGGAAGAGTTTATTGTCATATAGGTAGCTAAACAATTTACTTGGATATTTCTCCAGATTCAACCGTACACGCTTTTTCCGCCCACGTGTTGATTTGATCGTTATCACACATTGGGTACCAATTTCCTTTCCAATTATGGTGCAGATAACCGGACGAATATGAAATGAAAAATATCTAATATGTATAAAGCACAAAGGGTATAAGTTATAACATCGCATGTGTATAAATGTAATACTATTATAAATATTTAATAAGAGATTTAATTTTACAGAGTTATTTTTTAAGTGGGTATATTATATAAGGTATTCTACAAATTTTTTTATAAGCATAGTATTTAAAATATTTATTTATACCTTCTTCTTTTTATAAATCAAGCTTATAATAATTATTTTCGTTTTTAAATATTAAAATGTAATTATACCAATATTCAACATTGTATTCTAAATTCTAATATAATTATAACTAACTACAATTGCTTGTAATTATTTAATTCTTAGAATGTAGAAGTGAAGATTTCAAATTCGAAAACATTTTGGGCTTACTATTTAAAATTCAAATTATCTGTTTTGTTTTTGTTGTGTAATTCAAAAACGAATAATCGTGAGTACATCTTTTTGATCTATTTATCATACGAATGTGTAATAAAAAATATTTTGAGTTTTTTTTCCATAATTGTCAATACAATATTTATTTATTTTATTTGTTTATTTATTAAGTTGTTCTTCTAGTACTTAAAAAATAATAAAATACATAGGCACGGTTGATATTGGTATAAACATTAGAATTTCTAATTTGACAAAAGCACGGAAATTTAGAAATTATTTTGGAAAAAATATTAAATTTTTCGAGCCAATGCTTGAAAATCGAATACAAAGTTTCTTATAAGTTGCAATCTTGAAACCAAAAATTTAACAAATATATTCACTCATTATTTGTATAGTCATTTTATGTAAAAATCAGGGCGCTATTATATATCCAAACAAAGAATAACAATTTTAGTTATTTTATAGTTATTAAAAAATATTTTTTGTGGAGATTTAAAATGTTAAGGTAGGTATATTATAAATTATTAGGTATTACAGTACAGCGGCTACCTACTTTTCTTCTTTTTATTTACCTATTTAATTTATAAATTATTAGTTCGATGTAAGGTAATACTATAATAGATACCTAATAATAATAATAATAATAATAATAATAAAAATATTAAAATCATAATACTGATAGTAGATAATACATAAACAATTGCTTAACAATTTTGTTAAATAAATATGTTTTAAAATTAAGAGTCAGATAAAAAGGAAAGTTCAAGAGCCTGATCCCTGATCATCTTATCACTCCAACAATAAATGATAAGAGGATCAGGGATCAGGCTCTTGAACTCTCTTTTTTATCCTACTATAAAGTCTCTTCAATAGTTGAAATCAAAATGATTGTTTTCTAGTTTAGAAGTTATAGTCGATACTGCAAAGTACGGACGATAAAAATAATATTGAAAAATTGAATATTTTTTCCAAAATAATTTCCAAATTTCCGTGCTTTTGTCAAATTAGAAATTCTAATGTTTATAGCAATATCAACCGTGCCTATGTATTTTATTATTTTTTAAGTGCTAGAAGAACAACTTAATAAATAAACAAATAAAATAAATAAATTATATGCGATGCGAATAAATTAGTAGCTTATATAACATTAATGTTAAAAATTAAATTAAATTATAATCACTTTTTTAAATAATGTATGTTTTGTTTAAAAAAAAAATTTCATTGAAACATACTTGATTCGGATTTTCTAGGTGTCTAGATAACAAAGTGCATTCGTCTTCGTCTCGGCCGTTAGGGCAGTTTTTTACGTAATCACAGCGATTTTTTCTTTCGAAACAGCTGGAACGCTGTGAAACAATATCCCAATCGCCACAACTAAACGTTTCGTTGTTACAACCTATAGGCATATAAAATTACATACATATTATGTATCGTGTACATATTTGAATTTGAATTTATTAAATAAATAATTCAAACAAAATTCAAATTTAAAATAACAGTTATTATGTTAATATATTATGTGCAATATTTATTTTACTGGACACATAATATGGACACGATAAGGTTTGTAATATTAATTGTTAGGAATTATAGTGCTGTATACATGTGCATTACCGAAACAACCCAATTCGTCTTCTCCACTCGGACAGTCGTAATATCCGTCACACAATTTGTCTTTGTCTATTCGTTGTTTACAGTTACATTGGCTTTCATCACTCGCGTCATTGCAATGGATTCGGCCGTCGCACCAGTTTTCGTTGTCCACACACCCGGAATTGTCCACACACGGAAACGTATTCGACGGACAATCGAGATTACCTGCGGACCAAACAAGCCGTCGATTAGTTCGACAATCGTTTTATAAAGTTATTATGTTACATTATTATTGGGTAATAGCCAAGTATACGATATTAGGTGGAATTATTTGTTTATATATATGTTATTACCCGTTAAAATGTCGTCGTTGTTTCTTGCAGCGGTCTTGACGCTCGTCACCGCGGCTGCGTTTTTCGTGCTGTTATAGTGTTTTTTTATCGCTTGGTTCGAAGTATTTTCACTGTTTTTGTTTACGTTCACGGAATACATGCAGTGCAACCTGTTCGATTGTCCCGCGAAATCGGCGACCGAGCAAATCACGTCCGTTCGACAAATCAACAACACCGGGTAATCGTTTTGAATTACAGTGGCGACGGGTGGTTTTCTTTTATACGTAGCCAGCGACTGTGCCGTATACTGTATTGCACTTTTACTCGAGTCTTGCAGCTCACTAATTTGTTGATAATTCACTATGTTTGGTGAACACGGTGCTGGGTAAAAGCATATTGGATACGGTTTCAGTTGTACTTGTTGTATCACTTCAGGCTGTTGCAGGGTACTTTTGTCGTCCAAGTCGTCGTTCCTGCTGTTATTCGGCATCAAACGGTTTACGTTTTCTGTGCTAGTGTTGCCTATTACAGTTGTCGATTGATCAGTGTCTTGTCCGTTTTTCGGTTTATCGTAATGTTTTTCACCGCGGTCTTCCGACGAAGTTCTTTCACTTACAATTGCTTTAGTCGTATTTTTATTAGGAACAGGCGTTTCTGTTTTGTTTTCAAATATCGAATCGACCGTTCCATCAGTAACTCTGGTATTACTAAAATTATTATTGTCATTGGAGCTTGATGATTTTGTAATCGATCCTGTAATATTTTCAATTTTGGATGTCGATTCTGAAGTTTTTTCTGTAACATACGTTTCCGAATAATTTTTGTCAAGTTCTGATATTTCTGTAGTCAATTCTGAAGTATTTTCATTTTCAGATGTCGATTGTATAGTTTTTTCTATAACATAATGTGTTCTGTTATGACTTATGTCAAATTCTGATATTTCTGTAGTCGATCCTGAAATATTTTCATTTTCCGATGACGATTCCCAAGTATTTTCTGTAATATAAGTTATATCATATGTGTTGTCAGATGTTGATGCATCTGTAGTTGATTTAAAAATATTATCATTTTCATACAGTGATTCTGAATTTTTTTTTATAATATATGTAATGCTATGATTGTTTTCAGATCCCAGTATTTCTGTAGTTGACTCGGAAATATTTTCATTTTCAGCTGTAGAGTTTAAAATAATGTCTTTATTCGAATAGTTCTTTGCTTGTGTAGTGGTTGTTCTATCGTTATTTAATTCTGTCGTTCCAATAGTTTCGTTTGGATCCATAATATCTGTTGAACTTGTTGACATATCGTAAGTAATATGTGTTTGTGTGTTTTCATCATCATTGGTTATAATATCTGTAAGATATATTATTTGTGGTCCGACAGTTGTTTTAGTACCATCTTCGCGATTAACTATATTAGTTACCGCATTAGACATTTCCGGCGACAGGTCACCTTTTGTGTCGACAGTTCTATCGGTGCCTTCCTGGGTAGTGATACCTCCAAGTGTTGATGATAACATAGTAGTGAAGGCAGTTTCTTCGTTCGATGTTGTAGTAATGATTTCGTAATCGGAAACACTATTTAATTGATTGGTTACACTTTGAGGCGTGTACTTAGAAAAAATAATTTTTTTTGATTGTTTCGTTTTTTCACCCGTACCAGGTGCATGTTCATTTACATTTATCGGTGTGAATGTTGTTTGATCAAATGGTATTTTGGTTAAATATGAGACTTTTGTTGTTGTGCCGGTAGTCGTGTTAGTGTCTAATGGACATTTACAACGACATATGCCATTATCATCAACTGTTGATAATGATTCAGATATCCGATGTATGTCCTCGTAGATTTCATTGAATTTCCCCTTCATTTGCACACAGTCAACAATCGTTGTTTCTTCACGCAAACCCCGTTTATCTCTATTAAACTGAACATCTAATCGATTTAAACTGTTGTTAAGTCTTTTAATTTCATACATAAGATTTGTTAATCTGTTATTTATTTCACACTTGACGGATATATTTTGTACATGAACGTTATCTGAATCTGTCTGAAAATGACTATTATTATATGGTTGCGTTGCATAAGGTATTGTGCTAGAACTCTCTGATTTAACTAGATTCTCGATCTTGAGCGGTGATCGTAATGGTCTGTTTAAATTATTACCAGTATTTAGATGCCTACCTGAAACATTGAAATCCTCATTTATAATAAAATGTCAGTTAATATTAATATTTAATACTATATATATATAGTATTTTAAAGTGTTATAGGACGTACCTTGATTGAAAATATCGTTTACAGCGTAAAATGTTAATAAACCGAGGAAAGTTGTTGAAATTAATATTAATAAAATAAAGCATTTTCTTTTCCAAAACGGCATATTGTTTTCATACAGCAATTTTAATGTGGAAGAATTGGTATTGGACATTCCCATACCTATGTGGACGAACGAACTATATTAAATTACACCTACAATATTTGCATTTAGAATATTTCTAACCTGTAATATTGATGAATTAATTTGGCGTTGGTGTGGATTTATTTCAAATACAACTCATAATAATTAACACTTCAATACTCCATAGACTATCAGATGTATTTAATAAAAATAATTTAACACATATATTTTTAAAAATTAAAAAAATTATTTCATAAATTAAAATATATTAGTTGTTGTAGAACCCGCACATTTCACGATGATAGTTGTTTGGCGAATACGTATAAAAGACTGAGGGCAGTTTTGTGCTGAGGTGACAGTAGTTAGTAGTATATAATATAAAAAAAAAAATGACAATACATATATCATGTTAATAGAAATATTGCTTCATTCATTGACGCCTGAATTTGTATTAAAATGCTGTGCGTTGCATTAATTTTATGTAATTACTGTAGTCGGGTGTTTTAAAAATGGGTAATAACAATATGCATACCTATACCATAGAACATTGCTAAGGAATTTAAAAAAACAAAAACAAAAAAACAGTTTTGTTTGATTCATGTATAAGTTTATTTCAATAATATTCCTCACCAATAATATTAAATTATTATATTATTTATTGAATGAATGAAAATTTAAAAATATTCTAAATTTCTAAATCTATAAACTAACATCATCATATATTCATATGACATAATATTATTTTGTATCGTTTTATTTAAACTATATAACGTGCGAGAAACGTTCAACGCGCTTTTGAACTCTGAGTAGTGGCTATTGGTAAACCAATATAGTTCCTTAGTACCATAAATATTATGACAATATGTTTAAATATTTTAAATTAACCATTTTTTTTCAGTTTATAATAATAATATATTTGAATGTACCAACGAAAAATGTATAATGCTTATTTGCATTTATAAAACAACAAATTAGATGTCTGTACATATGGACAATAATTGGGTTGAATGTATATATTGGATTTAATTGTAACCTGCTAGTATTGTATACTAACTATGGTACTGGTTTAGTGGTTCTACCTACTACCTATACCTACCAAATTAAGTAAATATAAATAATAATATAAATATAATTGGTAGGTAAAATAAACTATTCTTAGACATATTATGACATAGTTTTATTTATTGACATAAAAAGTACTGCTCGAGTGTGATACAAAAATAACATTAGATAAATTGTTATTATCAGCATTTAGGCTTATTTAGGGAGCATGTAAGTTTCCATAAGAGGTATAACAAGTAAAAATTATCTCTGGGTATGTTAAGTTCCCACACGAAAAACAATTGTACCAAATACAAACTTCCTTCCCTCTTTATTCAGACTTATAACTGACAACTCAAACATAGTTGATGTGGTTAAAATTAGTTTGTTTTTATATTGCATAAAAAACCAATCCATTTTTTAATTGTACCTAGTCCATATAATATGTAATAAAAATTTGACGATTTCAAGTAGTTTCTTCCTGGTGGGCATGTACAAAACACGTATTTTTATTTTCAACTAATTTTTCATTATCTGTGTAACATTTAGCACGGCACTTATTGCAGGGAGAATTTTCCCTTTTCACTTAACATGTAATGAACTACGTATATTTTTATAAATTGTAACCATAGAGTTTTGCTTCACATGATTCATAATACTAATTTATGATAGGGCGTCTCTATATATTCAATGATTGTAACATAAAATATTTAAATGTTAACTCTGCTAATAATGAACGAGTACTGAATTCAATAAAATGTCCATACTAACTCAAATTATTATGGCCTATAGATAATAAAGATAAGTCTGGATAAAAAGTAATGCATTTAATTTTATCGCCGCTTGGGAAAATACATATTGGTATATTTTAGCTTCAATTAAATTCTTGATTGACGGATAATTACCTTTGATTTTTTTGTTGTTGATGGAACTTACTTACAAATGTAAGTTTTTCGTGAGGGAACTTACATGTGTACCCGCCCATGATTCTGTCTATACATTATTATATACTATATGAAAAATGAATGTACTACTGTTATATACAAACGGTGTATTAATTAATATTTAATTGTGTATACTCAATACATAAATGCATTTATAATGCAATTGATTAAAATCATTTTGTTATATTATCTACAGTTGAAAGTTTAATAAAAAAAATATATTTTTGAATTCTGCATTGGGAAAAATCGATTTACTATGTACTAGCTAATTTATGGTATGTAGTTAATGATCGTGTTTCTAATTTGTTATAGACGCGAGACGCAACACTGAAAGAATTTTAATGAATAATCAATTTATAAAATTACATTTAAAGCCCGGAAATGAAAAAAAAACAAATTTTAACAATAAAGCGACTAAACATTTTTATTTAGCTTCATTCCATCAGGTAATACTTACAGATTTGAGGTTTGTATGTATTATTAAACTATAGCAAAGTGCAGTAACGCAGGTTACTAGAGGTAGTATGAGTAATTAAAACTAGTCACGTATAATCAACTAAAAAACTTGATTTTTAAATTTGATTTATTGCGTATTAAAAAAATAATAATTTTAAGTATTTTGGAAATTATTTTCTTTAAAAAATAATATAAATATGCAAAAAATAATTTTGAACTAAAATGGAAATCGTTGATGATGTTCCCAATTTATTGTTCCCAATTGATATAATGTTGATTAATTTAACGAAAATAAAAATACCTTTCAATAGGAAATAAATCAACATTTATATTCGGTTATTTTTAACTTGATACTATCAAAGTTTTAGTTAAGACTATACAGACCCATTTTTCCGTGTGTGGCAAAGTACCACACATGTTTTAATTTATAAACACTACAACACGTATACTTACCCATTTGACTACATAAATTATGTGATGTTATGTATTATAGTCTTAATATGAAATGTGTTCTGAATAAAATAACATGTTTTAGATTCTGAGCTGAGCGATGAACGTATTGATTTTAAATGATGCGTTTTTTATTTTTATATCTGTCACCACGGTTTGGGGCAGTAAAAGTGCTTAGATTTTCTTTAACAGCAACTTTTCTGGGAGGAAAATCTAGGAATCTAGTTGATGCTTCGAGGAGTCAATATTTAAAATTCCCAAAAGATTTCAAAAGCGATTGGAAAAACAAACAAACAATTAAGGAAAAACTAGAATTTTTATGCAAAACCAGTTTTCGAAAAAATTGGTTTTGGTTTTTAGTATAACTCTAAAAAAAATTACCGTACAATTATACATACAATTTTCACTGAATATTTGTGTTAATATTTTCTATACACCATGCAATTTTCAAGATATTTTGACTTGTGTTGATCTATTTAAACTTTAAAGGCTTATGCAATTTTTTATTGTTATTTGTTTTCTTTAAACTGATGTTGATAAAAAATGATTATCTCGATAAAAAACTTGAAAATGTAATATAGAGTTCCTCGTAAGTGTTAGTTACTGGAAATTAAAAAAAAATTAGCGTATATCCACAACATATTTTTATGGCCGTTTGAATTTAGAATTTCGACAAAATTCGTAAAAATCACGAATATTTGCAAATTATTTTGAGTTAGAAATGCATAAAATTGTTTCTTTTTACTTCTAAGATTTTACAATTTAATAGTAGATTTCTTATAAGTTTGTGTATCTATATCAAAACAATTTTACCTGAAAGTCAAATTAAATTTTTATAAGTGTTTGAAGTTGAAACTTGAAATGTTTACAACATTGGATGTTCACTCTATTTCTTATTTTATTGTAATTCAAAAACGAATAATAATTGCAGAAGCTTGAAATACACCACTTACACCATATGTTTATATTATCAATTCATATACTTGAAAATATTTTGAGTTATTTTAGATTTTTTTCTTTAATATTGTCAATTAAGTTTTATTTGTTGGCTCAAAAAGCTTGAAAATATAATATAAGGCCCCAGACCCCTGATGTAAATTTACAACATCAGTTGAAAAATATTAAAAATCCTTAGTCATAATTTTTTTTTTTTATAAGCAAGTTCAAATTTTGACAAAATTCATATTATTCAAAATGTACTAATAATTGTATAGTTGAACATTTTTTGAGTTTTCAACTTTTATAGCTAAGGGTTAAAATTGTAAAACAATGTTCCACTCAACCAGATTATTCTGTTATTCTGTAACCATAAAATCTAAAAATATATAATCACATTTTTTTTTTAGTTCTTTTATGTTCAAATGTGGACGAAATGTCATATTAATAATAACCAAGAATAATGATTTATGTTATTTTGTTGTGAATTAAAAATATTATTCATGGGTACTTCAAACTTTTAAAGTATATTATTATATTTTGCACAAACAGTGAATTTTCAAATGTATTTTTTTTTTGCAAAAATGAATTTAATCTACTGTAGAACTAATGGTTACTAGTAAAATAAATTACTTTAATTACAATAATATCATCAAATATACTAATTTACTAAGTAATATTATAGACTAACACAGACCGTCTTCGCTTGGAATCGTTTTTCGTATACAATGTTTCAAATTTAACACCATCCATTTCAGAGACCCACATGCTACCTACTGTACAGCAGAGCTACATCCATTCACCCGATTTTTTGTTTTAATGACTCTATATTTATTTAAGTATGTAACCAATAGGCAATATTGCAATAACCATATAAGATATAAGTTACCATAATGCCAATTGAAATATGAAATAATTACGTATTTACATATACAATCGGTATGCTAAATCAAAAAAATCAACCAAGTATCAATTGGAAAAACAACAAACGATAACCTTTTAATAAGTAGTAATCTCAAATCAGATAATAATTTATGTATGAAATACGGCCCAATAACTTCTGTGGACGTTGAAAAATCGTTGTCTATGGACAAAAATATTTTGAGTTCAAGCCGTCAACGTTTTACTGAAAACAGTTTATCAGAGTACATGGTTGTGAATTTTTTTTATGAACATAGGTACCTATTATTGAAAAATTAATATTATATTGAGAAAACCTAAATTACTGAATATAGAACTTCAAATTATGCATTACATAATTTAATCAGGACCTTATTTAAATATTGTCAGGTCAGGGGCAACAATAACCACTCAATTAAGTAAACAAAAATCCGTTAGTTTTAAAAAACAATTTTTTTAATAAAATTAACTTATACTATGTTAAAAAACTTTCAATTGAAATATTTAAATTTTCTTTCTGAATTGTGGGACAGAAAAATATTTCTAAAAACCATATGCTCGACTATTATTACAATATTTATTGTGCATAATTGTATATATATTA